CGTTTTATTATCAGGTTATTTTCCAGTACATTTGGCACAGTTAAGGTAAGTATATTAACTTTACTTCCAAATAAAGGAAACAAAGTTGTGCTGAATGCCTCAGCCATTTTCAGTGAGTTAAGAACTGACAGGAGGTCCAAGTAATCAACCCTGTCTACTGTGCCGAGCTTTCCCCAGGGACATCTCTTCCGATCATACAAAGCATCTGACTGGCATGGATATAGAATTGCTTTCAATAAAGATTTTATTTCAAGCTTGGATGATTTCTCCCCCAAATGTCTTGTCACTAAAGCAAAGTATGTAATACCTGTTATTTTTTAAAACCTGGGAAGCAGCTTTTGAGACGCATAAAACACTGAGTTGAATGTTGTTCGTCGTAAAAGTCAGATTTTTACATGTTCAAATTGATCATGAGCTCTGCAATATCAAAAATCAGACAACTACTACATGAAAACTATCCCATCGTAGTGTGGTGATAAGGTCTGTTAAGACAGCGATATTTGAGGTGAGTAAACTCAGTTGACAAGGCAGCTGAGGCATCCCCAGGACAGAGCTCTGAAGATAAAACATATTTGCATATCTCTGACTACATATAGGAAACCAATATTGGATAATTTGAGGATAATTATTGGTAAGGCAAATCAAAGGGATGTACAGACTTTCACCCCCTGGCGCAAAACAGAGGAATTTGCAGATAAAACCATCTGGCTAGTTGTTGCTAGCACAATTCAGCAAAGATACAAAACCCACAGAATGGGGCAGTCCATTCCTAATCCTGTAGAGAGTTAGTTGTTATATCAAGAAAATTGATGTCATGAATATGTATTCTTTCCTTTCTGGAGAGTATTCCTCATAACTACATATCTTTAATCTCTCTTAGCCTTTGTTTAGATCTTTGGTTTTGATCCTTCATGGCAGTGACTTCACCAATTAAATAAAATATTGTGCAGAATGCTGATGGACAAGGTTCTTACAAGAAAACCTACTTTTATCTCTTAGTCACCTGCTGGCTTCAGAGAATTTCATTTCCTACACCTGTCATTCTGGTCCACAGTATTTACCAGATGACTCTTTCTTACTTTCCCGTTTTTTTTTTTCTCAAAATTAGGGATCAGCCTCATTTTGTAATGTGCTGCCCTTAATCATAGGCAATATTTCTGGTTCATGGAAGAGCAGCAGGCTCTTTGAACCTATTGAAAATTTGCCCTCAAATATGACTTAGAACAGTAAGAGATTACTAAGTTGGAGGGAACCATTCCCATCTCAGCTGGCAAAGGGCAGCTCTACTCCCAAACATGCTTCATCTTACATTAAGACAGCTCCTTTCCAACTGGGATTTTCCTCCCTAAAGACACCGGCTTATCTATTTATGTGCAGTAAGAACATTAAAATGGTGAAGAATCAGTCACCGTTGAAATGCTTTCTCCTCCTCAGTCATTTCTACAGAGCAGAAATGGATGAAGAACATTTCCTAACACCTAGCTTGTTTGAAGTAATAATCCAGTGTGCTTTCCAAATGTCAAAATTAATAACAATTTTATTTAGGGAGTTTGAAAAATGTAGGTTTAATGAAACTAGAAAGCCAAACTCACCATACAATGACCCTCTCAGTTGTAGGGTTGCCCTGCTCTCAGTCACACGCTTTCCAGCTCGCAGTTGCCTTGGCAACAGCCAAAGCATAAATTCTAAATATTCTTGCTTATATATCTGCCATTGACACTTCAGTCCTCCTATCACACACTTCTGCTGTTTCAATACATCATTAATTTCATTACTATTAATAATGAGATCTGTACTTTCTGTTTCCTGGCTTGTAATATTTAAGGACCAACACCATTCTTGATATTAGGAATTCAGATCACTTATTTGGGGGGAAAAAGTCTTGCACACCATAATGCCCTGCAATTTCTTGATATGGTTCCAATATCTGTAGCACTCGATTATAGATTGTTTCTAAAATAATCATAAATTGATGGATCATTGCTCCTTTCTTTTGTGCTTTACAAGACATATCTCTGTAATTTCCTTCCATTTTTCATGTTGCAAACGGTGTATCGCTCTCTCTGCTCTTTTATTTTCTGTGCCAAAAAAAGGAATTATTGCCCATTTTTTAAAGTTTTTTTCTTTGTAACAGAATTTCACTTAGCAGCTAAGGTAGCTGTTTTAATTGAGTACATTTGCTTTTGTTTTGCTTTGATTTTTTATTTCTATTTTTTTTTGGAGGGGGTGGGCGGATGAAAAAAAATCAGCAGTTGTGAAATCTCATTGGTAAATATTTGCAATTTAAAATGGCAAAAGGTCCCAAAGTCATATTTATTTTCTTCAGTCTGAATTAAATTCCTTCCTTCTTTCCCTCCAGTATCTGTATTTTGCCACAACTCATTTAAATACTCAAACTTTCCTGAAAAGTATTCCTGTTTGCTTGGCTTAGATTTTTTTTTTTGTTGTTATTATGATCATGAAAAGAAGTGCAATTGCAAGAGACAGAAAACATCATGAATTTTCAAGAGGTTTTATCCACACAATAATTATTTCACTAACTTTAGTTTAGGGGCCTCATATATATGTGGATGTTTTCATGCTTCATATCGCTGCACCAAACCAGACAGCAGGTTCCTTGGCATTGCCAAGGAACATCAAGGTTTATGCCATACTCTCACTTTGTGAGACCTAAGTGATTGTAGACCATGGCTGGCAGCAACATCACTCAAACAGGACTTAGCATGAGGAGGGCATCACCAGGAAAGGCAAGGGGAATCATTCTGCTTCATAAAGATGGCAAATGAGGGCACAGCAATTGGCCATGCATCTTCTATTTTCTGTGTTCACATCAGAAACAACATCTTGATGGTTGGATTTGACGATCTTGAAGGTCTTTCCCAACATGATTCTGATTCTACGATCTTGCTCTGAATTTTACAGAACAAGGAAATCAGATCCTTCCTTTTCTTTCACTTCATCAGGCCCTTTATCCCTGACCACTTTTTTTCTGATTCTGCTCATCTATGGTCCTTTTTTTTTTTTTTTTTTTTTTTTTTTTTTTTTTTTTTTTTTTTTGTCTCCTGCTCCCTGCAAAGTGTTTGTCATCCAGCTGTGCATCGTCAATGCCACCTCATTGCAAAGCCATGGCTAGTACTAAATTAATCTCTAATATTATAAAGTGTACAGCTTCTCAGTATGACTTTTCCCTGGTGAACCCCCCATCCCTCTCTATGTCTGTGTCATCTGAAAATACTGTATAAGTTTTCCAACATCTAGCCTATAAAAAGTTCAGCAGAAACAAGTTCTTCTCACAGGGATAACTCAAGCTCCTTATGCATCCTTTTGCATTAGTGGCATTCAGGAAGACATTTTCACTCGTTACAAACTTTTTTAATTGTGATAAATATGTGTGACGTCCGTCAGAAACCCACGCAGCCGTTTGGCAACAAAACTACTAACTTCTGAGACTTTTTGGACTCCTAAGTGATGATATGTTAATCTTACCACAGAGGAAACATAATTATTTTTTTAAATTTATAATAAAGATGGTGTATTTTAAGAAACTAATAATTGAGCCAATCTGATTAGTGCCATATGGAGAGTGTTTTATGCAATGGACACCACAGTTAAAAGCATGAGGCAGAACTAAGTAATGTTTTCTATTTAAATGTGGAAAAATCCATGAGCATCAGTGTTCAAGGAATGTGGTATATGACAAGATTGGCAGAAATCCACAAGACGACACTTTTTGTTTTACAGCGTACCAGGAACCTGAACTCACATCTCATGAAGTTTCTTTCACTTACAGTTTAACTTACTGTAAGTTCGGCAGTAGGTAGAGGCAAAACAGAGATAGCTATGATGATTTTAAAATTGCTGTCTGGATTTTACAAAGGTAAATGAGTGACAAATAGGAAGAGACGAATAAAAGAAGAACTTGGCTTCCAAAGCCCGCTTGGAGTATTTAAGTTAAAGCTACCAGGTTAGGGAAGTAAATTCATTTACACATTAAAGTTACATTTAATTCATATTTCTTGTAAAGCTATGTAATTTATTTGTAATATATCTGTATTTACTTTCCAGCCTAGAATATTTTAGATATTCTGGAGGGTGAAAGAAAATAGATTTTTATTTAGTCCACACTCACCGCTGCAGAGATTTATGCAAAACTGCCAACCTAACCTCTGTCCATTAAACCAATATTGTTCTTAGTCCAGGCTTCTCAATCCTTAATGTCATTTCCACAAGAATATTAAGTCTTAATACAGACAAAAGATCAACTTTTAATAATAATGGTCCTCATAATTTGTGGGTAATAAAGATATCAAAGGTTATAATCCTTACCATTGTTTTCTAAGCCATCCCATTAAGGTATGTGGTTTCAGTGTCCTTTAAGAAATTTCTTGTCAGGATAAGGCACGCAAAAGTCTTTTCAGTTATATAAATTTCACAATCCATTTGTGAGCATACTAACTTTATTGGATTTAAATTAGCTGAAGGGATGCATTTCATATGAGCTTTATATTAAGGACCCTTTTATGTTTTCCCAACTCTTTCAGCACAAGAGACCATGCTACAAGAAGCAAAGAGATTTTTCCCTGAAGCCACCAAAACTGTTATCATTAACATTGCTTGATTATCTTAACAGAAAGGGCAACCTCTATTTTCAGTATCTAAATGTATGAGCCCAGAAGTTATTCCCTTACAACATACACCTGAAATAATGGGCATTCACGAGAAAGCAGCAGAAAATCGTGCCCTGGTATAAGTGAATCCTAAGTGGGTCTTTAGCTCTCCATTTCACACACATCTTGTGGCTGAATCACCTTTCATTACTTGTCAGATTGGCAGAAGTTGTCACTTCTCTCCCTCTTTTCTTCCTTTTCAATAACTCAACCAAATAAACACCCCCAGTAGGAGAGTGAGCGAGAAAGGAAAGTGCCTCTGTATACTTTGAATGCAACAGCGACTCCTTTGACATCCCTGTTTTTTAACCAATTATTTCCTTTCGTCAACAGGATAGCAGCCAAGGAATCCGTGAATCTTATGTCAACACAAAGCTTAGGAATTGTGTTTGGACCAACACTCCTTAGACCTGAAAAGGAGACAGGGAACATGGCAGTCCACATGCTGTACCAAAATCAGATAGTTGAACTTATGCTGAGTGAGTACAGCAAGATCTTCGGCTCTGAGGAAGACTGACAGACAGGGCCTGTTATTGAAAACGTTCACATCTGTCTTGATGTCTAATATTTTTACATTTCTGTAAACATATTTCTGAAATATTTCTTTTTCTTTCAAGTGACAGATGCCTCGTTTTGTGAAAACTTAATGATGATTTTGTGTTTAATTTTCAAACATTGGAATAAAAAATATTGTCAACATTTGCCTATATGTATTCCGCATTAACCCTTTGAGAGTTTCATTATGCTAGCACTCCAAGTGTCAGTTTTTTGCAAGCTGAGCATACAGCATATGGCCAAGGACCATAGAAAATGCTGTTTACCAACATATGCAATGGCACAGAAAGACAAAGAATAATTGAGGAGATTGATGGGAAATGGAATAAATATGTATATCAAACACAACAAATTGAAACGGGTACAGCATAGCTTATAGGGAATTGGAGTATAATTTACCTTTCCCTTTGATATGGATTGAAAGTTAAATACACGATGAATTATCAAGTCCCCTACATCACAGATTGAAGAAAGGATTCAATCTATTACATTTAAACAAATTACTGAAAAAAGAAAAAGCCAACAAAACACAGTCTCATTATTTGCATTACAGTGCCTCAAAAAATACAACTGAAATCGGAACTTTGGCGTTTTTACTTCAGTGCAGTACATGAAATGAAGACATTGCATGACTGCTCATTTTAATGTAACATCCATTTTGATTCTTCATCACACTGTACATCTGCCCGCTTTCCCCAGCTATCTCATGTTCTGTAGCATTTGTATTGTGCTCCTGAGGATGCTTTATTGGTGAACTACATTAAATTCATCTAGAAAGACCTTTAAAAAAAAGCCTTTTCATATGCCCTTAGGATTACTTGGCTAGACTTGAATCAATTTATGCATTTGATGGTTAGTTTCAGTTGTCATGGATAAACAAAAGGGTAACTGTCTAGAATATATCAAATATTGTTTCATTTTGAAATGTATGTTTCCAGCTATACACATCTCCTACCCTGTTTTGTAAAAGTATTCTGCTGATAAAATGTAGACTTATGTTTGACAGCTTTTTAATCAAGTTCAAAGAGAATAAATAAAACTAATCCAGTGTGGTAAAGAGTCTGTCTGGTTATCGATTTGTTCACAAAATGAAAAATAAACCATGTAAATAAGACGTGTGAAACACAGATCTAGAAGCAAATATTTAAAGCAATTAAAGACCCCAAAACATAGGATTAATGCGTAGGTCTGCTGTGCACAAGAGATATGTCTTCAATATCACCTCGGCAGATCACGGATTTCTCTAGTTTTTACTTAGCATCATTTTAGAAAATACTGTGTTGTACTGGAAAGATTGTTCCTCAGAACAGTCATTTGTGGTAAAGATATCTATATAATGAGGGCTGATCATTAACCAAGACCGGGCTCTTTTGTCAGGTAGTAACACAGGCAGAAAGTAACACCAAGAAAAAAACATAGAAAGTGTGTGAACCCACTGGCCCCGAGACGTTTTCTGACATCCCATGGTCTCAGCAAAGCTGAGAGGTAATGATCAGCAATTAAAATGAAAAAATGTAAAACCAAGACCCTGTCCCAGTATATCACAAGTATTCCACATAAACATTTCCGAAGGAAACTCTAACGTTCAGAAGAACCCAAATTCACTTTACTTTCAAGAAAATATTTTTCATGTTAACGTCAAGCCTGGAGTACTTAAACAGTAATGCTTTTCAGCATTGTCATCTTTAGACTCTTTTAATAGCAACAAGCCAGGCGCTGTTTATAGCCTGTGGAAATGACTGAAAGAAAGATAGTCAGAAGTTCAGTCTATGCCTTAATAAAGACCATTCACATTATGGCCCCACGGGTGCTCACAATCATGCTATTGAGGTAATTTCTGCTATTACTGGAAATGAAAAGTTCACTTGTTACTCGGATCCTGTTGCACTCAGAAGAAAAGATTCTTAATTAATTAATTAATCTTCTTTTAAGCTTTCTTTGGAGCACGTAGACTCCTCTTTTCCTGTTTTTATAAGCAAGAAATGGCTTGTGAGATGAACCTGCATCTTTTTATGAGATCAACTGGTTTGGTTGAGCTTTAAAAAAATAAAATACAAGCGAACTTTAGGGCACACAATCCATTTTTCTGTTTTGAAGGGTATCTATGCGAATTATTCACAAATGTGGTGACTTCCCTGTTAAATGCTTCATTAAATCTAGAAGTTTGATCTGTGGGTAGCCTATTCTGAAAGGACACAAGTCGGGCTCATCAGAGGAGCCTGTACATCCAGTGTGTATAGCAGACAGTCTGTGCTTCCTCATCCAGACAACAGAAAGAAGCAAGCAGGGCCTGCCACTGAGCTGCTCAAATTCCCCAGATCTGAGTCTTCTCCCTGATTCCTTTAATGCCTACGTGAACACTGGGGGAAAAATCACTGCCTTGGCTGTTAGTATAAGACAAAGACCTAGGCGCATGGCTCTGGCCATCAGCCCTTCAGGCCAGAAAGTGGCTGGACACATCCATTTTCAAATCCTAAACATGTCTAAGTCTGACCTCTATCCAGTATGAGCAACTCACAGGGCGCATACACCACTACATTGCTCCTACAGCTGTTTATTATGGTAATATTCACTACAGTTGGGTAAAAGTTTTGCTCCAGATCTTTCGTGTGTCAGAATTAGACTTGCAGAAGACTTTTCTTCAGGATTAATTTGACAAAAATAACAATTTAAGCAAGAAGCTATCACTACTATTAGCAAATCAGAAAAAAATGAAAGCTGAGAATGCAGCAGTGTAATTTGTCCAAGAATCCCCACGTTTAACTGCTCCATATAACAAGTAGCTCTTAGTCACAGTGGTGTGAAAAAAAAACAGCTGTCCTATTAACTTGGATTTATACAGTAAAAGACAACATCGGGAAGAGTATGTATATATGTATTTGTATATCCACAGACATTAAGTGAGATTAACGTGCATTTTAATTGATAGCTTTTCACTTCTCTACTAGGCTAATCACAGTGCAGGTCTGTTTTCATAAACACCCCATGTTGCAGCAGAGTCAAACCCTTCCATTCAGATCAAAATGCTCAAGAAGCTTGAGTAGGCAGTATATAGACCATAGGTAGAGTTTGGGAGAAAACCTGAAAGAGAGAAGCTGGGACCGCAATCACTATTGTAGTCTGGCATAGATTTTACATGGTCAATTCTCAACAGAGGCTGAAATACAAGCCCCAGGGAGTGCACATCATATTATTGCACAGCAGGTTCCCTTGAGTTGCATTCCTTTTTCAGGAGGGGAACATGGAGTATCAGGAAGCTGAATACAATCATAGATGGAGGTCTTGATCACAAGCTCTGATTTTTGCAAGACTTACATAAGGGCCCCAGAGCAATGCTTGTTTTGCAGAACAGAGGAACGTTCTCTAGCACTCATTTTGGATGACAGCAAAAACTTCCCCTGAGGAGCAAGAAGTACAACACGTAAGAAGCAGCTTCAGCAAGTGGTCTGCTGAAGACAGGACTTACTCAAATCCTTCAATATTCAAGAACTGGAGCCCTTCGTAGCCAATAGGGTTGTAGTCATGGAAATGCTAAGTCATAGCCTGAACCAGTGATTGAGCACCTGGTGGGAAGTTAGGGCCAGCCCAGGGGAGCTCAGGTGCAAACAATGTACTTGAGTGACCAGAAGGGCGGGAAACAAGGTCCACCCCTTCCCAGACCTCATTTAAGGGCTGGCAGCGGAAGTAAGAGGATCTCTTACTGGAGATCCCTGTCTTCCTGAGGCCTTCCAAAGGTAAGCACCTCTTTTCCTTCATTTTTATGTCTGTAGTTGCTGTATTTAGGTTTGTTCTCATTTGCTGTAACTGAAGACTTTGCCATCTCGGTATTATCACAGTAATTTCCATCCCATTATAACATTTACAAGAGTTTATGAAGGGAATGCTTACAGGGTGGTGCTGAAGCTGTGATTGCTTTCTTGTGCTAATTCACCACAAGGCATTACAATGAAAGAATATATGATATGATTGTTGTACAAATATATTGCATGTAACTTTTGAACTAGGCAATTGCATAAATCCAAGGGTATCTGAAATCATACAAGAACTGGCTTCTTGTTTTTTTCTTATCCTTACAAAGGACAAGGATCCTTGTAAGACCTAATAGAGAGTTAAGGGTAGCCACCATCCCACTGCAATACCTGGCTTGGCAATCCTCCTCTAAAAAGCTATATGCACACTGTGAAACCTGAGGCAATAGCTTGCACCTTCAGTAGAAGCTGACAGCTTTCTTTAATAAGTTCAAGAGAGATCATAAAACACTTCAAGTTCAGAATGTATGCCAATTAATTACCCACAACAAGCTATCATTTTAGAGCACATTTCAGTTAATAAAAGGCAGACCCATAAATTTCACATGGTTCTCCTTTGTTCTCTCATTGTGTCAAAACACAATGCCTGTGCTCAGTTTCTGTTCGTAAGTTTCATAGCTACTCCTTTTATCTCCCAGATCTGACTATCTCCCCAGCAATAACTTCTACACTTGCTCAAAGCTGAGAAGCCTGGAACCTTTTTGTGTATTTTCTGATTCTCCAGTATTTTTGGGTAGCTGGAGATGTGCCCTCCCTCTGCTCTGGAGTGACCATATTGAAAGCAGCTCCACCAGTCCATTACTCAGCCTCAGCCTGTCCATTGCAGTGATGCAAGGAGCCCAATCGTTATGTCTTGCTTTCCCACAGGGGATGTTTCTTTGCAACCCTAGGCAGCAAATGGATTTGAGTATGTAAATAGATAAATATCCTCTGTACATTTCTGTCCTTTTGTAGTTTCTGTCACTTAGTATCCATTTTTAATCCTTCTAGACTCTTTGTCTTAATGGTATCTGATGAATTTCCCAGGTTAATTATGCACCATGTAAGAAAATATTTTACTTGTATCACTTTTAAATTCATTAGCTTTTAGCATTATTGTATGGCACTCCACTTGCTCTTGATTTATGGGAAAGGCTAAATAGGATCGCCTGACTGACCTCTTCTGGCAATTCACTATCCTATATACCACTAACATATCACCTCTCATTTGTCTCTTAATCAATTTAAGCTTCCCTCGCATGGAAGATCTGCCACACCTCTTGTGTTGTCTTTCACTGGATGCTCTGTACATCTACTCTGCTCTTTTGAAAGAAAAATAATAGAATCTTAAGTATTCAAGGTGAAAGAATCCTTAATATTTTCATTATTGATCTCTTTTCACCCTGTGAAAGAATCAAGCTTCTTGTTTGCATTTGACTTCTTTTCTGCACTGAAGAACTGAATTGCCTTTAGCACTGCTTCATGGGTCAGGTTCACAAGGGAGTTTTGGGACCTGAGTTGTACTTCTGGTCCGCTGATGCACTATTTCAGTGCTACTGGTTCTGTGGCTCTCTCTACTGTGCTGTGCTTTGAATTCCTATTGATAGCATTACTCTGGCTGCCCACAGCCCTGGCAAACAGCAAGAGGAGCGAGGGCAGGACAGAGGGGGTTCCCAGTATGAGATCTCCTACATCTTCCCCGACCCCCAGGCAGCTGAGGGAGGCCATAGTCTTTCCAAAGAAATCATAGCATGCTTGTATGTCTAAATCTAGCAGTGAAAGTTTGTCAAGTGCTCTGCATCCAGTACACCCAAGGGATGCACCCGGCCAAGCAAACAATCTCTATGTGTGTGTACCATCACTATCCTCCTATAGGAGCTACTCTATTGAGATGATGTCTAATGGCAGTTTCCTGTCAGTCCAGGTGATAATAGCTTATCTTCTAATAATCTAAACCCTTTTGTCACCCAGGACATACAGTGCTGCAAGAATGTAGAGCTGAAAACTGCCTGGCTCCATGAGACACCTGGGTTCAGAAAGTGATGCTGTAATATCGTTAGTTCCAGGTTTCCCAAGTATTGTTCATAGGAAAGCAAACCAAATTTCCTTTTCTCCTTACAGCATGCCTCACCTTGAACATGAATACTGAAAGATAAGGCAGCCGCCGTAAACAAGCATGCTCTGAGATAGAAAATACAAGAGCCTTTCAAGGACCGAGGTACTATACTTTCTCACACCATATCATTTTAAAGTGTAGATAGCCGAGAACAC